GGGGGGGGGGGGGGGGGGGGCATGCTGCTGAGCATGAAGGGGAAGGAGGGGCACAATTCTTACCTGATTGCGGGACTTAAAAGTCCCTGGCTGCTGCTGCTTCACCGTGGTCTGAAAGGGGGCAGGGGTTGATACCACACCACAAAATCCCCTCTGGATCCACCCCATATGAGCAGAAACTCCGTAATCAAATCACACAATACACAGTATCATTGAATCCTTGATGAATATGTTTTTTTGAAAATTAAAACCATTTGGAGGGATTTTTATCACATTTTCACCAGTTAGGCAGGAACTTACCTCCTCCTGGAAGAATATCCCTTTCAAGGAGACACAGTTTGTATCCATGTTTCTTCTCTAACACCTCTGGAAGAACATCCAGGGCAAATTGTTCCTCATTGACAAAACTGGAATCACTTTCAAAGGAGCCCATTTTTGCATGGGACACAAAAGCATCAAACTCTTTGTGATCTACAATTAAATTTAAATGATTATTTTTGTAAACCCTGTAGCTAATCTTATCTGGCTAATGTATTTCTAAAGTACCAACAATTTCAGTTAATGCTAAATTACCATTATACACAGTTTGTAGCTTATTTAACTGAATGTGCAAAATAAGTACAAGATGCAAAATTCAGGCCTGGATCTAAGCATTGTTTTAAAGCTTCAGGGACATCCAGTTTTTGTACGCAGGTTCTTTCCCATTAAAGAATGACATATGACCTGTGGATTTCAAATCCAGACACCACCTTTCCCAGGGCTTAGAGAAAGTTCCAGGAGTCTAGGTAGCATTCATTTTAGCTGTATGCATATATATTTAAGAGATTAACAGATATTTCCATTTTAAAGCTGAGCCATTTTTGTAAAAAGTTGAACAGGGTAAAGATTAAATGTGGTCAGGTGGGTCATGGGACAACCAGAGAGAGCTGTGAAAAGACTACATAAACTAGTGCTCAGAACAGTAATACTTACTGTGCGTTCAGTCCTGAAAGATGCTGACTTCACTAAAGTCTTTGGAATTTCTCATATATTGAAAGTTAAGCATGTTTAAGATCTTTGCTGAACTGGACAAGAGCGCTCAATACATTACAGGTTTGAGCACTGTGTAAGAGGTAATGATTTTGTAATCATCTGCCCTGGGCAATGGGTATCTAATGGAATCTTGGATAAGCCTCACGCTCGGTTAGTACTAATGGAAACTTATGTGTGCAACTACAGTTTGTACAACTACATCCAGAGTTAGCCTATTCAGACAAGCAGGCTCCAGAAAGTGTGCAAGCATACAAATTCAGGTTCACAGATGTGGAGGTTGACTAGGGCTTATTTAAAACTTTTACATCTTGTTTTCTTAAAAAGGAAATGAATTGTTTGTACTACAATCATTTCGCCAGTTTGGCAGGCCTGTTACACAATCACAAGTAATTTGTAATTGTTGTTATTGTTGCTAGAAAAGTATCTTTAAGAAGATACCTTCAGGGCCCTCCACCCCAATATACCAAATTATATTTTAAGCTTTGTGAAGCTAAACTATCATTTACTATATATCTTCACAGGACTTAAAACTGCAGAGACTTTACTTGGCCAAAGTCTCTTATCATTACTGCAATAAAAATATTAAACAACAGAATAAAAACTGATCATGCTGATTTATGATCAACACATTCTGCTTATTTTTTAAGATGACATTTTAAAGATTTCCTGCAAGTTCTAGGCTGATTTGCCGAGTAACCAAAGGAACACATAACCACATTTTGGAGAAATTGTTTTAATTAGATAAGAAAAGAAATTAGAATCTACAAAACCTGACCCAGCTCTGCACACACGTGCATCTCTAGTCCTCAGGTTTTATCACAGTCTAAGATTGAAAATTATTATAGGATACTCTTATTAAATAACTAACAGTACTTCACTGCTCTCACTGAACAATACCGAGAAATCTATCTCCTACTCTTCCATGGTTGAATTAGGGCTGTTGTTGCAAGATGTCAGTCATTTAATATGAATTTCCCTTATGTCTTCCAGCTTTTCTAAAATCCTGATCCAACATTCACTGGAATCAGGAGCTGATAGGAAGCCCCACATTGCCTTTAGAGGCATCTGGATCAGGCCCACAGACAGCAGTTGATTTAAAGCATAACTGTTAACCAGCATTTCAGATCGCACTAGAAAAAACTGAAATAAAATAACATCATATCCTGGTTCTGTTTTTCTTACCTCCTATAGTTTCATCCTTGACCAGGTAATTTCGGTACATCAGCACTATTTCAATCCAATGCTGATAAATAAAAGCACTGCTCACAAGGAGTCCAAGTAACATTGAAATCAGACCAGATAAGATGTATAAGAAATGCACTGAAAAAATAAATGTAATGCTATTAAAATTTAAGATTTCCAAAATATTGATATTTGCAAGAAATGCTAACACTAGACAAGGGACTAAGGTCCCTGGCACACTTTATATTTCTGGCACAATTAAAGCGTTAATCATACCATAAATAGCAACATGCCACATGTCCATCTAATTTATGGACCCATAAAATGGCAAACCAGGCACAAAGAGAAGTCTGGCATGGGATCCAAGTTCAGAGCTGAACATTGCGACTTGAAACTGTACATAGAACTGTGCAAAAGACAGGGTTGATTTGCACCTGATAGTCTGAAGTTAGGTAGTCTATCTCCCTCTGAGTACGTAGAATTCCCATGCAGAAGGATATCTAGTGTCTCCCTACTTACGTAAAAAGCAGATCCATCATAGAATCACAGAAAATTAGGGTTGGAAGGGACCTCAGGAGGTCATCTAATCTAAATCCCTGCTCAAAGCAGGACCAGTCCCAACTAGATCATCCCAGCCAAGGCTTCATCTAGCCAGGTCTTAGGAACATCGAAGGATGAAGATTCCATGATTTCAATAGGTAACCTGGTGCTTCACTACCCTCCCTGTACAAAAGGTCTTTCTAATATCTAACCTAAACTTCCCTTGGTGTAACTTGAGATGATTACTCCTTGTTTTGTCATCTCCCACCACTGAGGACAGTTTAGCTCCATTCTCTTTGGAACCATCCTTCAGGTAGTTGAAGGCTGCTACTAAATCCCCTCTCAGTCTTCTCTTCTCCAGACTAAATAAGCCCAGTTCTCTCAGCTTCTCTTCACAGGTCATGTGCCCCAGCCCCCTAACCATTTTGTTGCCATCTGCTGGATTCTCTGTAATTTGTCTACATCCTTTGTGTACTGGGGGACTGGACACAATACTCCAGTGTACTCCAGTCCTGACACAGCCCAGTATGCCATTAGCCTTCTTTGCAACAAGGGCACAATGTTGACATATATTTAGTTTATTTTCCACTGGAACCCCCAGGTCCTTTTCTGCAGAGCTGCTACTTAGCCAGTCAGTCCTCAGCCTGTGCCAGTGCAGACCAGTATAATAAAAACATATTTTAGCATTCATTAAAAACAATCTATAGGCATTTAGTAGCCTTGAAAATTGTCTGATTAACAGCTCCAAAAGTTGTCCACCAAACAAGTACTATAAAGCACAGGGAAAGAATCTGCAAATTTTCTACACTTCTTCACCAATGTGTTTTCAGTGAGAATAAGCAGACACCCTTTTCAGAATGTGAGGATAGGTTCACTCTCATATTTGTTCAGTCTTTGGTCTCTGCTGAAATTACCAGAAGTCTCCCAATTTCACACCAGTTATGATCAACTGTCTGAGCTAGACACACTAAGAATAAGAAAAGTGTACTAAAAATCCTGAATCTTGAATAATGCTGTTATGTTTGAGGGAACACAGTACTTTCAACTGCTCTGCTGCTTACAAGAACCACACCTCTCTACCCACAGTAATCCCTCCTCCCTCCCACCCTTCCCTTCTTCTTCCACTTAGTCTCCTGCAGCCCTCAAGACGCTCCATTTCTTCAAGAGGGGAGACTTATTGGTAAGAACCTACCAAATTCACAACGGAAATAAGCTGTGCAGCAGCTCCTTTAATCTTGCAAGTCCCGCCGTGTACCCCACCCCTCCACAGAGCTGATTGGCTGAGGTGCTGCACTGGTCTTGCTGTCTGTTGCTGACTGGCCAGGAGGCAAAAGCAGCATCATATTTAAAATGGTTTTTGCCACCCTGTCAATCAAAACTGAGCAGGCAGGGCCCCTCCGCCAATCAGCAGCAGGGGAGGCATGGGGAAACCTGCAAGATTAAAGGAGTGGCTGCACAGCCCATGAATTTGGTAGGTCCCTACTAATTGGTATGGAATGCCCTCCTAACTTTTGCCCCACATCTCCATGAGCGGGAACGTGCAGTTTGTGCTGGTGAACATGCTTGCCATGCTGCCTATTTGCAGCCTGGCAGCAAAATTAGGTACAGGGAAATCCCAGTATCTTAAAAAAAACATGGCAGAAAGAAGTGGGGCAGTGCACATGGCTGCAGTGTGCACCATCAGAAACTGGAGCCTGGCCAACCAAAGCCAAGATCTGGGTGCTGGCCAAGCTCCATGCACCCGAACACTGCCACTGATGCCCCAGGAGACCAGGTAAAGCTGCTGAGGCCAGCCCAGTTGCTGGCCCCAGCCTCCCCCACCCGGAGCAATTTGCTCACACCAAGGTGCGTATGCAGGGGCATGCCTGGGGACAACTAGCAGTGACACAATTGTGTACCACTGCTAGTTGTCCCCAGGGAAACACACATTCCTGTTAGTGGGGATATGTCCTTAGAAGCATTTTTTTTTCACTCAGCTTTAAGGAACCCCTGAGACTGACTGGAAGTGTTGATAAGGAGAAATGAGATAAATTTACCTCTTTCCTTTCTTTTTAGCTTGATCACTCCTGTAGACTTTCCCACAGAATTCTGAGCAATGCATGTGAAGTTGCTGTTGAGGTCCCTTTCAGTTACTTCCCTCAGCTTGGCTATATGAATAACTGTTTCTCCCACTAATTCATTTTTCTCATCCCTAAACAGGAAAACAATAATTCATAGAAGCCCTTGATTAGACCAATTAAGAGGTGGCAATGTTTTTAGCATTCATATGAAATGCCTCATATGAAACTTCCATCTGAGGTCATGAAGATGATGTTATGTTCTCTTGTTAAGATACTTATGTCATGAAAAAGCACTATTGATTAGGCAAAATATCCAATTGACTTGTACTCATGTTTATGCACATCCTTACGAACCTACCTAAATTGAAGGGACTGTGTTCTTTTGCTTTATGAGACCTTTATAAGATGTGAAGTTAGCAAACGCCTCAGTAAGTACAGGTGCCAAACCAGGAAATGTTTTTCTGATGATCTCCATAAATACGAATATAATGTCAGCAAGCAGATCTATTTTTTTCCATGCTGAAGATTTCAATTGGTGCACTGGAGATATATGGAAATGTGAGATGGGTGCATCTACACAGCACAATAGTATGCTGTGAAGAGATGTCTGAACTACTCAATTCAGAGTACTCTGTTTATCTTGGGAAATTAAAGCTTTATAGCATAATACCTATATAATAAGGTGCTCCATTTGAGCCAGTATACCTTGTTTTTCAGAAGGGCTAGTAAAGTTGGATAAGAAGCTACAGTTAGACAGAGAGGGTGGAACTGGATGGAGGAACAGATTAAGACTGGGAGGGGATAAGCAGATAATGTATATGTGAAGGCACCCGGGATACTAACCAGGGGTAGTCCAGAGGGCCAAACTGGGATTACATGGGCCAAGAATCTTGGAATGGGATGAGAACATTGAGAAGAAACTGGGACAGGGTAATCAAAGGTAATGAAACCAATCAAGATAAGTAATAGGAAAGAGATGCAACTCAGAGACACATTAGAGCAGGGGTGTGTCCCAGCCACCTGCGGAAGGTTCGGGATTGAGAGTATGGTCGGGGGTAGAAAGGTAAGAAAGATTTATTGACTTAACAAAAACACAACTACGCGTAGTAACAAGACAAACAATGACAGACAAAAGCAATTCACGTCGGCAACTTATTGGCAGTCCCCTCTGATGCCTGATATACAGCAAGCTTCTCTTTCTACAAAGTTCAGCGAAGTCAGGCGTTCCTGAACGACACTGTCCAAAGGGGTACCAAAAAGGACCCTGGAATACAGTCCTTGGGCTCCTCAGGGTCCATGGGCCCACTGATCCAGGCAACAGCTAACTAATTCTTTTTACAGAGCTGTATCTTCCTTCTGAATGGTTTCCAGATATTCCAGCCAATTTAAAGCTTCTGAATGGTTCTGATAACATACAACCACTCAGATTCCTTTTACTTCAACTGTCCTTAGACTGACCAGTTAGCAGTACAAGCCTTGCCTTCCTTTGATAAGGTAATTTTAACTACGCCACAGGGCCTTACTACTTCAAGGCTTTGCTAAATTTACTAGGCCTTACTTTATACAAGGCCTCACTACATCTTAATCTTCAATTAGGCTTTTAGCAACAACATATAGCTTAATATCTAAACAAATACAAAAAAACACTTGGTCTAAACTTCATAGGGCCTTCAGCAAGCACCTTTATCACACAGACATAATTTCAGCTGTCACAGGGGGGGCAAAGGCTGGCCCACAGTGGACTCCATTTCTCTGCAGTCCCTGCTCATGTCGCTGCAGCCAGTTTCCATGGAGGCCCCAGCACTGGGGCCGGTCCAGGGTTTCAATGGAGACCAGCCCCAGCAGCAGTGGCTGAGCAGGGAGCTGCTCTAGGGCCAGGACCTTTCAGCAGTGACAGCATGGTCTAGAGTCAGGGAAGAACTGCAATCCACTGCCTGCATGCCCCGGGCAGGGCCAGATCAACGCATAGGCAAATTGGGCACATGCCTAGGGTGCTAAGTGAAGAAGGGGCCCAGTTGTGCTTATTTTACATATTATAATTATTAAGTGAAACAAGTAATATAAATTTACAGTATTAAGTAGGAGCCCACAAGTTTGTTTGCTTAGGGCCCACTAAAGGATTAGTCTGGCCCCATCCCCAGGTAGGAGCATGTAGACAGCAGATTGTGGCTCTGACCTGCCTCCAGACCACGCTGTCACTGCCACAAGATCCCACCCCCGGCCCCAGAGCAGTTCCCCACCTCCTTGCATGCCCTGCCAGTGCTGCTGGGGCCAGTCTCCACAGAAACCCTGGCCCCACACTGTCATGTCTCTGCCACTGCTGAAGTCTCTATGAAAACCGGATGTAGTGATGCGGGCAGGGACTGCAGGGAAATGGAGCCCGGCCACCAGCTGGATCCACCATTTTGCCCACCCCTGGATTAGAAGATGGGACATGAATAATTAGTCTGGGGGAAAACAGATAGACGAGGCTGGGGAACTGTTCCCTCCAAGAACCTGTATTTCTGAGTCTCACCACTCCACTGCTGGAAGCGAGTATCTCTGAAATCTACTGTAAAAGATATCCAGTCCATCTCCAGTGCTGGCTGTCAGAGAATGGCACCCCACTATTGCTATCCATTATGCTTGTAACTGAAATGACTGAGTTCCAAGCAGTAAATCATAAGATTCCAACCCTTCTGATGAACATGTCAGCACCAATATGATGCCATGTAAAAGTATTTTTTAATCATTTCATTTTTCTAGAATCCTGTGAAATTACACATTAAATCCATTTTGAAACAATAACATTGTTAATACTGTTGCAAAGTCAAGCAGTCAAAAATTAGGAAATGCCTGAATTAAAGTTGTCTTTTCAACCTAAAATCAAGCCTACTTAATGATGGGTAATATCACACATAAAGGGCTCATTTTAACAATTTGATACCATCAAGGTCCAAAGGCCCTGGTCTTTATTCAATTCACAGAATAGACTGTCATGGTTATTAGTCAAGGTTGTGTAGAATGTCACCTCCACCACATTCGTTGTACAAACTAGAAGATGTAGAAGCACATGAGACAGGGAATTAAAGGAGAAGAAGAAAAGGACCTCATGAAAGAGGCATTTAAAAACTACCCCATGAGGCAAGGAAAACATAATATGTGATCATATAATTACCCAGACATCTCATGGGAAGAGCACTCAGCTAGTTCTGAACCCAAGTGGTCATTTAGCTTCCTCACTTGTACTGAGGAGCTCTATTTGACTCCAGAAGTATACGGGCCAACCATGAGAAAGGCACTACTGGATTTGGTTTTGGACAAAGAGGATGATCTAGTGGGTAACCTGAGGATTGAGGGTAATCTAGGTGACAGTGACCACGAGGTGATCACTTTCACCATCCATTATTTTAGGAAAGCTGACTTCTTCAAGCTTAGGAAATTGGTGGATAAGGCCCTGTGGGACCATGGTCCGATGGAGAAGGTAGTCGAAGAAGAGTGGTCGTTCCTCAAGGATACAATCGTTGGAGCACACAGGAGGTTCATTCCTGTTCATAAGAAAGGTAGCAAAAGGGCTCAGAGACCCCCCTGGCTCAATAGGGACATTATGGAGATCTTGAAAACAAAAGGAGAAAGCCTAGAAGAGATGAAAGCTGGGAATTACCCCCAAGGAGGAGTACACAGGAATGGCCTGCACCTGTAGGGAGTAGATTAGAAAAGCAAAGGCAGAAACCAAATACAAACTCAACAGAAACCAAAGACAATAAAAAGTCCTTCTTTAGATACGTTGGAAGCAGGAAAAAAATAAGGGAAATGTAGGAACCTTACTGAACCCATTGGGACTGCTGACAACTGACACTCAGGAGAAAACCAAACTCCTAAATGAATACTTTACAGTGGTATTCCACCAGACCAAGGATTTTAACTTGCCTGACAGGAAGCAGGATGGACAAGGTGGGGATGACCACCCACCTACAATCAGCAAACACTTTGTGAAGGAATATCTAGAGAGGCTGGATATTTATAAGTCAGCAGGACCGAATGATCTTCATCCAAGAGTGCTGAAAGAACTGGCTAAGTCATTGCACAACTGATGGCAAAACTATTTGAGAACTCATGGCAATCCGGTGAGGTCCCAGAAGATTGGAAGAGGGCCAGTGTGGTCTCTATCTTCAAGAAATGAAGGAAGGAGGACTCAGGGAATTATAGGCCAAACAGTCTGATCTCAATCCCTGGAAAAATCCTGGAAAAATTTATCAAAGAATCCATCAGTGATAGGCTAACAGAAGGCAGTATTCTAAAAGACAGCTAACATGGCTGTGTTGCAGACAGGTCATGCCAGACCAACCTTATCTTATTCTCACCACCTGGATAAGGGTGATGAGGTCAACATCATATACTTGGATTTCATAAAGGCCTTTGACTTGGTCTCCCACAATGTCCTCATAGTTAAATTGAGAAACTGTTGCCTCAACAACTTAATGGTCTGGTGGCTGGGAAACTGGCTTTGAGGCTGAACCCAGAGAGTGTTAATAGACGGAACCAAGTCAACATGGTAAAAGGTGACCACTGGTGTCCCTCAAGGCTCAGTACTTGGACCAGTGCTTTTCAACATTTTCATCAATGATTTGAATATGGGTGTGGAAAGTGTATTGGGAAAGTTCACGGAAAATACCAAGTTTTGGGGGAGTGCAGTCATGCTGGAAGACAGGCTGAGGATACAGGCTGACCTGGACAGGCTTGTAAAGTAAGTGGATCTAAACCTGATGATGTTTAACACCGAGAAATGTAAAGTTCTCCATCTGGGGAGAAATAATTCACAACACATGTACAGGCTTAGTGGTGCTACACTAGCCAGCAGCACAAATGAAAGAGACCTGGGGGTCATGATCAACCGCAAAATGAACATGAACCACTAATGCAATGCTATAGTCGGCAAAACAAACAACACTGGCGTGCATCAACCGATGCATCACAAGCAAGACTAAGGATGTTATCCTCCCGCTCTACTCAGCATTGGTAAGGTGGCAGCTGGAGAACTGTGTCCAGTTCTGGATGCCACATTTCAAGAGGGATGTGGAGAAGCTGGAAAGAGTCCAAAGGAGGGCCACATGAATGATTAGAGGTCTGGAAAATAGACCATATGAGGAGAGGCTGAAGGACATGCGACTGTCCAGCCTGGAAAAGAGAAGACTCGGGACTTGGTGGCAGCCTTTTAAGTAAATAAGGGGCGAACATGAGGGGCTAGGAGAACATCTGTTCACCAAGGCACCCCAGGGGAAGACTAAAAAGAATAATGGTCATAAATTGATAGCAGATGACTTCAAATTAGACTTAAGGAAAAACTTTTTACGGTTTGTGTGTCCAGAGTCTGGAACAGACTCCCTCCAGAGGTGGTACAGTCACCTCCCCTGGAGATCTTCAAAAGACAACTGCATGCACACCTTGCTGGAGCCATCTGACCTCAGCAGTCTTTCCTGCCTTAGATCAAGGGGCTAGACCTGATCATCTTGTGAGGTCCCCTCCAGCCCCTAACTTCTATGACTCTATGAATTTAAAGATGAGATCATAGTCCACAGGCACAAGGGGAAGGAATTAAGGTTGCATAGGCAATATTAATTCTGCCTTTTCATAACACAGGGGGACTTGACTTTGCAATCTTAGGGCGTGTCTACATGTGCTACTATGGCAATGTTGTTATGGTGCTGTGATTTAGTACTTTCAAAAGGAAGTACTAAATCACAGCACTGTAATAGCCTGTACTATGCCGTACAAGCGGCACATGGTTATTTTTAGCAGCTACTTCACCATAGCAGTGCATTATATCAGAGGGAGCACATTGCTATGGCGATGTAACTGCTTGTCATGTATAGACGCCTACAAATACTACATCGCCATGTGTAGACGCACCCTTAATGTTCTTTTAATATAGACATACACCCACATCTATACATATATGTAATACAGCATTAATATACATAAATATATTAGAAAGTAAAGAAATGTGTGTGAATTAATATATGTACCTTGCACATGTATACATGACTGTGTGCATCTTATACACCCACACATTAATGTGTAATATGTGTATGCAAGTATAAAAATCTTCAGTGCTGGTCAATGGAATTTTCTTAAACTGATATTTGTTAGTGCTTTTCCAGTGTCTTCAGATGAGAACATATTAGAAGTAGCAGTTATGGAAGATTTTTGTCATTTATTTACACTTTATTCAAGGCATTATATTTGTTCACCTTATTTGCTTCTGTTCAAGCTCCTCACTTTTTCCTTCTTGGCTGTGTCTGCTCCATGATATCATGGGTATGACGTCTCTTTCATAGCCAAATTGGACTTTGCATTCCATTTCAATTGGTTTTCCTGGATTAAAAAATGAAATGCAGAGAAGTCGCTATTAACCTGAAATGGAATAAGGACTGTTATACAAAGAAGTGTCTATTTTCCCCACTGATGACAATAAAGGAATGTACTACCAATAAGATATGAGTTTGAGTTTATTGATTTGTGATCTATATAAAACAGTGGAAACCTTGGGAACAAAATGCATTTATCATACAGTATATCAATATGCCATTCAAATCTTCTAGGCCAGAAAGACAACCACAACACCACCAACAACAAAATCCATCATACCAAGTTCTGCTTCAAGGATCTTCACACCCTTGGGAGACAACATTTTTGGTGCATAGATGGTATTTGGTGCTGCAAAATGAAGTAATAATAAATTGTAATGATGATTATTGCTACATTATATGAAATGAAAAGATCTTAGTTTATGGCAAATCCAAGAAGAATTCTGATCTTGTATTCACTATTTTAGATTACAGCACAGTAGTATGGTGTATATTATCACTGAATGCTGAAGGCTTTTCCAAAGGCCATCAATATTAACAGCAATCTCTGTATCTGGGTTGCTAATCAAACTGATGGCCTGTCTGAACATTCTTAGCCTATCCCAAATGTTTCTCAAATGTTTCTTCAGACAGTGAGACAAATTGCTAACAGCTTTGTGGAGGGGATAAGGAGACAGACTTGGTCACAGCAGTAAGTTCCAGTAGAGGACAACACAAGAGAGGGTGAGTGATAGCTAAATTTTCAGCATGAAAAAATAAGTAAAAGTCAAACATTCTGGGAAAGAAAAGCTGATCTAACTTACTGACAAAAATAAATGTGCATTCAGATATTTTATTATTTTGAGTTGATATATTACTCACCAATGACATTCACTTTAACTACTGTTCTCATTGTCCATCTGGTATTATTGACAAATAACATGTAATCACATACATACACACCAGCATCTTTGTCATAGATGGTAAGCAAGTTGATTTTATCACCCTTAAGTTTTAGACTTTGTCTAAATGTCTTCTCTGTTAGTAATTTTCCATTCTAAAGAAAAAACAAAGAAAAAGAAATAATATTTATATATACATGAAGTCTCTTTCATAGCCAAATAGGACTTTACATTCCATTTCAATCAGTTTTGCTGGATTAAAGAAACATAAAAAAAATCTCTATTAACCTGAAATGGAATAAGGACTATGATACAAAGTAGCATATATATTAATAGGCTTCTTCCCCTCTGCTATCCATTAAATTATCTTTTCACACTTCGGTATTGCAATCTGGTGCTCCGCTTACTGCTCCCTGTCCTATCTGCTGCTGTTTTCCTTGTTCTCCTCCCCAAATGTTGTGTGCTAGACACAGAGGCTGCCCATGCCACTTGTGGCATGTGTGCCACAGGTTGGCCACCCCTCTGGGAGGCCATTTTACCGTGTGACATTTTACCTTGACTATTTCACAGGTACTTGAAGTGGCACAATGGACTTGTGCATCTGGACATGTTTGGCCATTTTTTAATAGATGCCAGTCTTTCATTTAAAAAAAAAACTTTTCAAAGCAAAATTCACTGTTACATTTTTTCTTACATATAAAGTTTTTCTATTTTAGAAAAACAAAATATTTCTCTAAACCCCAAAGAAATTATTCTCAAAATTTTTGTTGCATGGAAAACTTTAGATTTGTTTGTTTCCATTCTGCTTTGGTATGGGGCCAAAAAAGGAAAATCTAAATCAAAATATTCCTGGTGAAATGGAAAATCTAGTTCCTACTGAACTCATAATTATAAGTCATTAAAATATAGGAAAATCAAAATTCTGCCTTCAGATTGTTAAGCGCAATTAGTATTGGCTTTAGTAGAAGTTGTGAGTAAATGTATGTAAATACAGAATTCAGCCTAGAATTGTAACTGCACTGGTTCTGTTATGAATGTGCTTAGAAGAAAGTATTTGTTACCTTGTACCATGTCACCTGTGATCTGTTTAAATGACCGTAACATTTTAGCCCAGGACAAGAAATTGAATCCCCCTTTCCAGCGATGAGAGACAGTGTGTGTGTCTCATAGTCAAAACACCTTGCCTGACTCTTTGCTTGAACCTCTATGATAATTTTGAAACATGAGGCTTCTTCCCTGCATAATACAGAAAAAAAGAAAGAAAAACAAGTTAAAATATTCAAGCTATCATACCAGAAAAGCATTTTAGAAATCAGTGAAAAATTCATTGTCATAGTGGTATACCTTATCTTACAAATATATATTCCTGAGTCATTATTTCGTATTGGTTTGAACCAAAGTGCATTCCCTTCTTGAGTGGGATTAGTGCTTTCCTTTCCAATAACCTCCGGCAGTTCTTTTTGTTGCCGGAACCATACAACTTTCTTTTTATATGTAAGTGAGTTGTTGAAAATGTGGGTGTAGCTTTGAGATGGTAGAGGGCATTGTAAGACCATTTCCTTATTATTAATTGCACGGTAATGCTTTTCAAATTCTTTGTGAAGACATCCTGAAAGGGAGGATAACAAAAATATCAGAGTAATCCAACAAAAACACAGGAAAACATCATTAAGGAGAAAAAGAGTTGTGAATATTCCATAATGGAATTTTATGTTTTTAACAATAAAACTAAATTGGCACAGGTCTACTAAAGACAATTCTAGTGTCACCAGATGAGGAGTTGCTGTATGTCTTTAAACACAGTCTAATAGCTTGCAGCTCTTTGGATTTTACCTGCATATTTATTTCAGTCACAGAGCTATGACAGAGGTTGTCCTGTCTTCTGCTTCACGAGCATGAGCTGTGGATGAATTTACTCAAAGCATCTTTACCATTATTGGTTTAGCTAGATTTCACCCCATCTAAGAGGCATTCAGGAGGATTACTTGTTTTTATTCAATGACTATCTAATGAAAAACATGCAAACCATCCT